TCCTCCTACCTCAGCATCTGAGTGCTGGGATTACAGACATGCGCCACCATACCCAGCCATTACTCATTTAAAGTATCCCTAGTCATGCCCAGGCCTAGCTGGCCAACGGGGAGGAGACACCCACATCTTGGGCTGATGAGTTGTCCCCAGTGCCGCCCCTTGTCTCTACCTCCATTGTTAAAGGAAAAACTATTCAGTGACATTTACTGAAACATGATAAGGAAGATTGTTTTCAGAACATGGTGATTGGTAGAGGACGACAGTGGTAAGACTTGTAGTGAGGAAAGACTAGGTTCAATTTTGTCAGGCAAATGGGGACGCCTAGGTGAGTGCCAGGGTGGGGGATGACTAAAGAGACACATCAGGGTGAGGGGCATTTGGGCTCAGTGGACCTAACAGGATTCTTTTTTTTTTCTGTTCTGGGGTTTTGAACTCACATCCTACACCTTAAGCCACTCTGCCAGCCCTTTTTTTTGTATGAATTTTTTTTTTTTTTAAGATAGGGTCTCTGAAACTATTTGCCCAGGCTGGCTTTGAACCCTGATCCTCCTGATCTCTGCTTCCTGAGTAGCTGGGATTACAGGCATGAGTCACAGGCACCTGGCTTCTAACAGGATTCTTGTTGAAGACAGGCCAGAGTGATCTGACATCACCTGGGAGTGGTGGGGGATGAACACTTTGAGCCAAATATGAGGGTTGGGGGTTCTGGCTAAACTGACTTAACTCAGTTCTTGCTAAAACTGGATTTTACAGGAAAGTGCACTAAAAGGCTTAGGAGAAGGTTCAGGAGCCCAAGTTCGGTCAGGCCAAAAACCTCTTTCACCACCGCCCATATACACACCCCAGTTCTGCACCGTTTCCATTGCACGAGGGCAGGGAGAGTAGAGGAGAAACTCCTGCCCTGGAAGGAGTCTTCCAGAACATCCAGTGTAAATGGTCTCATTGTACAGATGAAGAAAATGAGTCACGGTGTTGGGCTTAGGCCAAGGTCAAAAGCATCCAGGTCCCCAGCCTCCCAAGCTAGACAGATTCTTTCTACTAGATGTCAAGGGCAGGAAAGGCCAAAAAATAGAGACTTAGATCCCCAGCCTTGCCACCAGCACCTCCCCCGTCCCCTGCTTTGGCCTCCTTTAGTGGTGGGTGACCTCCAGGCCAGCCAGCAACCAGAGGCACAGGGGAAAGGCAGGTTAAAGACGGCTATTGAGAAATGGATCCCCAGAGAGACAATGTCTAGATGTTTCCAGAAAGACCTGGTGTTCCCCACCCCCCTGTGTGCTCTCCATGGCTACTCCCCACATTGTCAGTTCCTGGTGACTGGCGTAATCTGTCAGCTGTCAGGTCCTGCTGGGGAGCTCTGGCAGCTGCCTGAAGACTCCAGTGCTTTCTCTGAGGCTTGGCCAGCAAGGGAGGAGCTGGCTGGGCCCCAGTTGGCAAAGGTCCAACGAGGGAATGACTAGTGTGACCAAAACCTCAGGCACAGTGCAAAGGGAGGAAGATGGTCTGAGCACCCCAGACTTGCAGAAGGGGTGAGAGGAGGGGCCCTTCCACGGAGGTCCCTAGACCCTAAAGAGGGCACAGAGTGCTGGGGTCATGACCTGTACCTCAGTAGATTCTGGAAAAGCCCTGGGGGATGGAGTTGTCTTTTTTCTTCTTTCTTTTTCTTTCTCTCTTTCTCCCTCTCCCTCCCTTCCTCCTTCTCTCCCTTCCCCTCTTTCTTTGTCCTTTCAGTACTAGGGATTGAACTCAGGACCTCAAGGCCTCTACCACTTGAGGCCCATTCCTTTGGCCTTCAGTTTTTCAGATAGGGTCTTGGACTTGATCCAGGCCAGACTCAGACCTCTACCTCCCAACTACCTAGGACTACAGGCATGCACCACCGCTTCCCGCCCTGTGGTCCTTTTTGTCTCCCCGCACCCCTCCTCCCCCCAGGAAAAACTCAACTACCCCTGGAAGCACAGTGCCCTGACACTGGAACCAGGCACAGATAATCAAAGAATGGTGAGGCAGGTGGGCACTGCCACCCAACCCTAGCTCCACTTGCCTGCTGAGGATTAAGGACTCCTACCAGGAAGGGTACTTGGTCAAGTCTGCAAGGGACCCCAGAGGGCCTGGCCAAGCCCTCCCTGTGCTGACCCCTGCCTCTGCATCCTGGAAGCTCACAGTCAATAGGCCTATCTGACCTGCCTGGGAAGTCTCTCCCTAGCTGGACAGAGATGTGGGAAGCCCAAGTTTCAGCCTCTCCCACCCCTTATCGGTTAGGTGGCCTTGAGAGCAAGTCTGTTTCTTTCTTGTTTGTTCTTTGTTTTTTTGTGTGTTTTTTTACAATGAGGGGAATAATGAACTTAGAGTCTCATGCTTGCTAGGCAGACTCTCTACCACTTGAGCCACTCTGCCAGCCCTTTGGGTCAATTCTGACCCTCGGTTTTCTCATCTGACAAATGGGTAATTCTCCTTATTGTAAGTCTCAATATCCAGGAATGGTGGACTGGCTCAAGTGGTAGAGCACTTGCCTAACAAGCGTGAGGCCCTGAGTTCAAACCACAGTTCCACCAACAAAAACCAGGGGCCAGTGGCTCATGCCTGTAATTCTAGTTACTCAGAAGGCAGATATCAAGAAGACTGTGATTTGAAACCAGCTCTGGGCAAATAGTTTGACAGATCCTATCTTGAAAAAGTTAGCTGGTGGAGTAGGTCAAGTTCAAACCCCAGTACTGAAAAAAGAAAAAAAAAAAATGTAAGTCTCACTATTCAAAGAAAAGCCCTCAGGATAACAGCAAAGACGTATGAGCACCAGGCACTGGACACCCTACTGCATTTGGAACTCGCCCCAGGTGAGATGGACAGATAAATTATTAGCTCCAATTTGCAGATGGGGGCATGTGGCCTCTGAGAAGCCACCAGACCAGTGAACAAAATATCCAGGTGCAAGCCCAGCCCTGTCTGACCCCAAAACCCAGTTCTTCTCCTGCCCTCTTCTCACGCCCATGCTTCTCAGAGCCACTGCGGCGCCTCCCTTGCAACGCGGCAGGTTGATCTGAGAACCGATCAGTGGAAATGAATTCAGATTGTTCACACATGAGCATAGTGGTTGGTGTGCCCTGGGTTGCCAGGGCAACAAGAATGAATCCTCACCCTGGTTTCAGGCAAGATGAAGGGAGTTTGTGTCTACAAAGAGCAGGGAGCCCCCTCCCTCCAGAGCGTGGCTGGGCATGGCAGGGCCACGCTCCAAAGCACAGATGACCACATCTGACAGCTACCTGTAGGGTGGAGTGCTCTGGGCTCCAGTCTGGGCCAAGGTGGGCAGGCAGAGGCTGGCAGATGAACATCCTTCCTGCCTTCTGACCTCACCTTGAATTTATAGAGCTGCAGAAGGGTGGGGCTGAGAACAAAGGCTTGAGACTTCTTACAGCAGAGACTCTTGGGGGGTGTGTGGGGTGGGGGGTTGGCCAGGAGCTCCCAACTGTGACCTTGTGGGTTCATGACATGACCCAGCTAGGGAGGTGGGTAGAGGACACAGGTCCTGTGTGCTTCCCACCTCTGACCTCTCTCTCTGAGTCCCAAGATGTTGAGGCCCCTCTAGAGTGACCTGAGACTCAACCCAGTACCACTTTATCCTGATAGGCAGCCCATGGGATGGGCTCTGCTCTCCAAAAGGAAACTGAGGCAAGAAAGAAACCTCCATCCTCCTGATCTCTGCCTCCTGAGAAGGAAGAATACCGAGACCGGGGCCAGTCACTTAATCTCTGTGGGCCTCAATTTCTTCCGCTAAAGATGTAAGCACAGGCCACGCTCAGGGAGAAGGAAGCCTGAGACAGCCTGTGAAGACAGGAGAGTGGCAGCGTGAGGATCAGCCTAGAGGCCTAAAGGCTGCACCTCTCTCAAAGCTGGAAGAGGGGGTCTGGACCCCCAAAAGGTATTGAGATGGAGGAGGCAGTTTAAGGGGTGAGCTCCAGGCTCCAGGTAAGCTTGTGTGAACTCTACCACTTGGACCCCTACTTGTCCCTCTGTGCTATTGGGATCATAAACAAAAGGTTCTTGGAGCTCATTATCTTGCAAAAGGGTAAACTGAGGCCTAGAGAGGTAGGGCCCTGGCCAAAATCACATAGGAAGCCAATGGCAAAGCCAGACTAGATTCACATTTGCTGCACTTTAAGGTGCCTGGTTAAGACTTATTAAGGAAAAACAGATAGAATGAGAGATTTGACAATGACCTCTATCCTCATTCCCCTGTCTGAAACCCTTTCTCCCAGAACTGGGCCTGGGGGGCGGGGTTGGGGGGTTCCACTGCTTGGGATAGCAGGGAAATGGTGAGACCCTGGTAACTCTCTGATTTCAGGTAGATACAAACAAGTGAAAATTATTACCCATGAGGCCCTGGGCTATACCCTTCACTTTCATGAAGTCACCCCATCCTCAAGCAAACCCAGTGAGGAGGAGTGACATAAGCGTTATTGTCACCTCCGTGTTCCAGATGGGGAAGGCAAGGCATGGGCTTGGTGGCAAAACCAGGGACCTCAGATACTCTGCTTCCAGAGCCCAGGTGTCCCCACAACACACCAGAGTCTATGTCACATTACATCACAGGTCCCTGTGGTTCCAGACCTGGCGCTCTGCCACTTCCTATTTGCCAGGCCTGCCTAGGACAAGTAACCCAACCTCTGCCGGCATCATTGTTCTCGGTAACAGAAGGATAGGACAGGCCACCACCTAACAGCCCCGAAGCACTTTAAGGCCTAGATTGCCAAGTCCCCAACAGTGGGCACTGCGCCAGGCCCGGTGTCCCAGTCGTTTGTTTTCTTTCACAAGAGAAGTTTCCAGATGTGGGCAGAACCTTCCTCGCCCCGCCCGCCCCGCCATCCCCTTGTAAAGCCAGGGAAGAATGCAAAGGGGGGGAGGTCAGGGGAGGGACGGCCCCCAACCGGTCATTACCATTAATAGAGACGTGAAGCACCGCCTTGCTAAAAATACCCGGCTGGAGACCCATAAAAGCGCAGCCCGGTGCCACCAAGCCCAGTACATCTTGGATCGGCAGAACTGAGCCCGAGCCACCATGACCGAGCGCCGAGTGCCGTTCTCCCTCCTGCGGAGTCCCAGCTGGGATCCTTTCCGGGACTGGTACCCCGCTCACAGCCGGCTTTTCGATCAGGCCTTCGGCTTGCCCCGGCTGCCCGAGGAGTGGGCGCAGTGGTTCGGGGCCAGCGGCTGGCCGGGCTACGTTCGCCCGCTGCCCGCCGCCGAGGGCCCCGCGGCCGTGACCGTGGCCGCGCCCGTCTACAGCCGCGCGCTCGGCCGCCAGCTCAGCAGCGGCGTCTCGGAGATCCGGCAGACGGCTGACCGCTGGCGCGTGTCCCTGGACGTCAACCACTTCGCTCCCGAGGAGCTGACGGTCAAGACCAAGGACGGGGTGGTGGAGATCACCGGTGAGCCCCCGGTCCGGCCCCCGAATAGGGGACGCAGCCCAATTTCCCTGGGAGAGGGGGAAGGGGAGCGGAAAATGAGCCCAGGACCTTAGCGAAGTAACTTCTCCTATTACTCAGGAATGGGGGTGCGCGTCGCTCCCCAAGGGGCCTACTGTCACTTTTTTTTGTTTTTTGCAGTGCTAGGGATTGAACCCAGGGCCTTGTGCATGCATGCTAGACAAACACTACACTGAGCTACACCCCCAGCCACCCCCCACCTCCCGCCATTGTCACTTTCCACCCCCCCAGCCTCGCCGCCCCATCCCCAAATAAGCAGGGCCCCCCATCCCCGGGGTGTGCGCGCGTAACGAGTGCACCTGCTGTGGTGCCCAGCATCCCTTCCCCCGTCCCCACCTCTGACCAAGGCTGAGCTCCAAACTGTGCCCCTCTCCAGCCCAAAGTCCTGAATCCAGCTTTCCGGAAAGTTCTGAGGGCACGCCCCCCCTTCCTCTCCCCACCCCGGGACAGTCAGGCGCGCATGGAAACTTCTCCATCAGTCTGAGACTGAGCAGGTGGTGGGGCCTGTTGGGACGTGCAGGGCTGAGAGCTGTGTCCCCACCACCCCGCAGACTCTGACATTCTTCTCTCCTTTCCTCCCCTCTCACCCCGCCCCCAGGCAAGCATGAAGAGAGACAGGACGAGCATGGCTACATCTCTCGGTGCTTCACCCGCAAATACACGTGAGTTCTGGCGCCGTGCCTGGGGGGAGGGAAGTGGGGGGACCCAGAGAGGAGGGCAGAGTGAACAGGATGTGCAGAGGGGTGTGTAACTCTCTCTCCTTCCTCTCTCTCTCTCTCTCTCTCTCTGCATATCCAGGTTGCCTCCTGGTGTGGACCCCACCCTGGTCTCCTCCTCTCTGTCCCCTGAGGGGACACTCACAGTGGAGGCGCCAATGCCCAAGCCAGCCACACAATCAGCAGAGATCACCATCCCTGTCACATTCGAGGCCCGCGCCCAGATTGGGGGCCCCGAAACTGGGAAGTCAGAACAATCTGCAGCTCAGTAGAGGTCATCGCCCTGCTACCTATCCCAAGTCGCTGTCACTGGCCACTCCCTCTGCTAGTCTGGATGCTCTTTTGATACATGTATCTTCTGTTTTTCTCAAATAAAGTTTCAAGCAATTGCATCTCACTGCCTCAGAGTCTGGTGGTTGTGGAGGCGGTGGGGAGAGGGTACGACTTGCTGAGAGCCTGCTGTGTGCTCAGTTTCCTACTGAGCCCCAGGGATACAGCCCCATCCAGCCTCACATCCACCAAGGGACAGTACAGTTCAGACCTCAAGCACCAGTGTAGGGTAGAAGAGGCACCTGTCCCAGGCATGGAGTTGGAGTTAAGAGAGAAGGGGGACCTGGGGAGGAGGGGAGCTCCCTGGGACTTGAGGGTACCTGGCTGAGTTCATTGTCCCTCGAGAGACCTACAGAGCATGGAGAAGTTGTGGCATCTCCTAAGGGTTGGCCAAAGGCCCCATAGTGCCTGCAGGATGGTGCTCTGACTCGGCAGATGATGAGGGTGTGCCCTAGGATTTGATCCAGAGACACGGCGGGGGAGAGCTTGTTTTGAGGAGCCCAGGTAGGAACAGTCCACCTGCTTTAGCTCTTACCTTGTCTTGCTTGCCATATCTACACCGCCTCCAGCAGGCCCAAGGAAGGTTCTGAGTAGGCTTTGGAACCCACTTGTAAGCTCTGTAAGAATTCAGGACTGGTGGTGTGGGCTGGTGATGTGGCTCAAGTGGTAGAGTGCTTGCCTAGCAAGTGCGAGGCCCTGAGTTCAAATCCTAGTACAATCAAGTATTCAGGGACACAGCTCCAGTTTCCACCTGCAAGGTCCCCGAGCCTAAGGTGGTAGCATAAGACATGCCCACTTTCTAAACTGCAGCCCTGCTTTCCCAGGAGCAGAAAGCTTCCTGCAGGGACCTGTCTGACACACCTGCCCCCCACCCCCACATCACCTCCACTCACCCAGCCTCTTGATGTCCCCACATCTGGAGAAGGCATGAAGCTAGAGCAGGTCTGGCCCTGGGAGACCTGGCTGGACCTGGAAGGAGGCCAGCAGGGAAATAAACATGTGACAAGAATTGCGCCCGCCCAGCTGACATGGCGGGTTTGAGCCTGTCCGACAGGCCTTTCCAAACCTTTCCACTCTTCCACCCACTGGTCAAGACTGTTCAGGCCCATTCCTGGGCTCCAGACCTCCTCTGCGACACCGCCCACCCCAGGAACCTGCCGGACACCTCCCCACTGCCCAGGTGGGACAAGGAGAGTTGGGGGGTCTGGTCCCCACCCTGACTGTGCTGATCAGTTTCACTGTAGCTGGCACCAGGGATGCCCTGGCCTGCTGGGGTGTGGTTGCCTTGTGGTGCCCTGAAGTCATCCTCACATTAACCCTAGGAAGAGGTCCAATTACTCCGGCTTAACAACTAGGTACAGAGTGTCTCAAAAAAGTGACCAGACTCGCTGGAGTCCAAGTCCTAGGGAGTACAGGAAGCGGGCGGTGTCAGGGGGGAGAGGGGGACCTTTATGGGCAGAGGTGGGGAGAGCAGATTAGCTGAGACTCAAAGTTGGGGAAGGGGGAGAGGGTCTCTGTCTTGAATGAAGGCCAAATAAGGTTTTGTAGAGTTTTGGGATGGTCTGCAGCTAGGGCTGTTTAGAGGAGCAGGCAGCCAAAATGGCCCTAGAAAGAGCTGCCAGGAACCTGGCATGGTGATGCACCCCTGTAATCCAGACACTCAGGAGGCAGAGGTAGGAGGATCTTGGTTTAAGACCAGCCTGGGCAAAAGCGTGAGACCCTATCTGAAAAATAACTACAGCAAAAAGGAGGGGAGAATGACTCAAGAGACAGAGCACCTGTCTTGCAAGCATAAATTCCTGAGTTCAAAACCCCAGTATTGCCAAAAAAAAAAAAAAGAAAAAGAAACATGGTTCTGCCTGGACAGGTTGAACAGGCAGGGCCAATGTGCTACTAGGATGTCATGGGAGGATGAAAACTGTCAGGAGAAGGGACAGGAATGTCAGGTTGTTGAAGCAGCAGGCTCTGCGGTATGGGGTTACAGAGCAGATGTAGGGTTGCTGAGGAGCAGTGGAGTGAGGGAATCCACTGAGGAGGCCCTGAGCCTAGGGTCCGCCTGGCCTTGACTGCCAGAGGAATGAATAATTTCCAGAGACCCCCTCCTCTCCCCAGGGCCTGGCAAGTGTCATTTCTACTGCCCAACTCTTTTGCTGGGAAGAGAAGCAAAACTGCCCCAAGAAAGTCACAAGAGACCAAGGGTCAGGCAGAGCTGGGGGTCCTCACCAGGGCCTGGCCGCAGAGTGGGCAGAGTCCCAGGCCCCAGGGCATGGTAGGGATCCATCTGGCCAGGGTCGTCCTATCTTCTGGAACCCCAGCATTTCCCACCCTGCCCTCTCCCAAATACACACACTGGGACCTAGGAGTGTGGGATAGTCCCAGAGGTCGGGCACAGGATGACACACCAGCCACCCACACAGGGAAGGTGGGGAAAGTCACATGGTAAAGGACAGGTGAACCAGGAGGACTCATCTTATCCAGTGTGGTGCTGGACCCCAAATTCAGAACCCATAAAATGTGACTGAGTCACGCCCTCATCCTGCTCTCCAGGGGCATGTCCCTGGGACTGTGGGGGGCCCAAGTATGAAGTCCCCTAGGGCCTGGAGGGCTTATCAAGACATGGGTGGGAGCTGGGTGGTGGCTCACGCCTGCAATCCCAGCTACTCAGAGGGTAGGGATCAGGAGGATTGCAGTTCGAAGCCAGCCCAGGCAAATGTTCACAAGACCCTATCTCAAAATACTCTTTACAAAAATAAGGCTGGTGGAGTGGCTCAAGGTGAAGGCCCTGAGTTCAAGCCCAAGTACCACAAAAAAAAAAAAGGACACGGGTGGGGAGTGTCACGTAACGGCCATGAGAGCCCCTCATCTGTAAATGTCAAAGTGGCGTCCAGCAAAATGTACCCCCTCCACACCAGGGTTCAAGGCTTAGTGAGCCTCACTCACCTTTTTATTACATTTCTCAGAAAACATCATGCTGATCCTTCAGCACACAGAGAACTCGCAGCCCAGAGAGGGATTGTGTTTGCTCGGGGTCATGCAGCAAGTGAGTCAGGGCAAAGCAGGGCATGACGGGTCCTTGAAGCTGCTCCCTGGGGAGGATGAGGCCTATTGTGTGCCCCCACCCCAAGTGTGTACGGTTTTACCCTGTCCATTGGTAAATGCCCATGTGCCAGCTCTGAGGAGCACCCACAAGTTAACAGAAATCACTTCACTCCTGGGACGATCCTTTTGATTAAGGACTGACTCTCCCCCCTCCCACCTATCCAGGGTACTTTGGACCTCACTGTGTCCATTAACTGTGCCTCCCCAGGAGGAGCCACGTCCTCTGGATTTCTGGGAAGGGTTGGCTGTCAGGCACCAGCTGGTGATGGGAGAACTGGCAGCACAAAAAAATGCTAAGAAGGGCCACTCTGGATCAGTAATATGTCACTAAGTGGCCTTGGGTAGGAGTGTGAATGGTGGGAGAGCCTCATGACCAGCCAATAACAGAGGTCCAGCACCTGGGCAGGGCCACCCCCTCAACCCAGAAAGATCTGGGCATGGTGGCACACATCTGTAATCCCAGCTAATCAGAAGGTGAATGTCCAAGACCTACCCCAGGCAAAAGCTGGAGATCCCATCCAAAAAAGTAAAAGGGAGCTGGGCGCCAATGGCTCCCACCTATAATCCTAACTACTTGGGAGACTGAGATCAGGAGGATCAAGGTTCAAGGCCAGGAGACCCCATCTCCAAAATGACCAGAGCAAAATGGACTGGAGGGGTGTCTCAAGCGGTAGAGCTCCTGCTTTGCAAGTGCAAAGCCCTGAGTTCAAACCCCAGGACCACCAAAATATAAATAAAGTAAAAAGCCAAAAGATTGGGGATGTGGCTCAAGTGGTAGAGAGCCTGCCTAGCAAGCTCAAGGACCTGGGTTCAAATCCTAGGACCACCAAAAAAGAAAAGATCTTGTCTGAGGACCTTGGGGGAAAACAGAGCAGCCCTGGGAGTGGACCTTAGGGCATATGGCTCCTTGAACTTTCCTCCTACCTCTGCCTCCCAAATTACTGGGATTATTAGTTTCCCTTCTGAAGGGTCTGGCAACCTCTGTTTGGCTCGTGGGGTTGTCAGTCCCATGCAGGGCGAGAATCAAGAACCAGGCAGGAACCAGAAGACCGGAGCTAGCCAGCACCCTAACAATGGTAGGAAGGCCAAAGTCCCCGGGGTGACAGAGGATGAGAACACTGCCCTTTGGTCACCCCTGAGCCCAGGGCAGGCCTGGCTGACCCCTTTCTTCCCTATCTGTCTGCCCTCCAAGTCCACCTAGGATGGCTGGGGCAGTGTGTGTTCAGGCTGGGGGAATCCAGGATAGTGAGGGCTATGTCTGAACCCTCTCACCTCTCTCTGAGCCCCCTTGCCCAGACTATCCTGCTCAAGGCCTGCCCAGCCCAGCCTGACAGCCTTGAACCCTGGGATGTCCATCCTTCAGCAGGGGCCCTGGAGCTCCGGAGCAATGACTTCTGGGACAGAGGTAGGGAGGGAGGAAGAGGGGTTCTGGAGGAGAGTAACTGATCCCCAGCAAGCAGGCCACAGGCTCCCAGGCTCAGGCCTGCTGTTATGGGTGGCAGGAAGCCTAAGGTGAATGCGTGCCAAGTCAGGCCCTAAGACTGCCCCCTGCAGGGCGCTGTGGGTATGGCATCCCCATCACTGTTCTCCTCAAGCCCAGATAGGACTGTCAGCTACTGACTGTCCCCTGGTACTCTCTTAGAGGTCCCACAGATGCTCCACAGTTTTACCTTTGGGAATCTCTGCCCAGGTTCTGGGTCCTGCCATGCCTGTAGCAGAAACAGGGGCAAGAGGCCCAGTTCTTCTCTGCTCTAGGTCTCAAGTTCAATGGCCCTAAAGCCTGCTGGAATTTCCCTCCTGGAGGACCCCGCTTTCTCTCTGGGCTGCCTGCCCTGATTCTGCCACCGAGGGGTGTGGCAGCCAGGGCCTGAATTCTGGGGCGCTGCCCCGGCCTTGGTGCATCTTTGCTGCAGGAGGTGTTGATCACTGTCTGGTACTATTCAGAACTGTCATGTATAGCCAG